GTTTCTTTCCTGATGATTTATCTTTCCTTGAGAGTGGTGTATTGATGTCTTCTACTATTAATTTCAAGCTGTTTAGATGGACATTTTTAAGGATCTTACATTGTGTGCGTATATGTTTAGTATGCTTAATTGTTCCTGCTGTTATTTTAATCATTATGTAGTATTCATTCTTGTTTCTCATGATGTTATTGGCCTTGAAGCCTATTTTATCAGAGATTAATATTGCCAATTCTGAATTTTTATAGTTTCCATTGGCTTGGCCGATTTTTTAGAATGTTTTGATTTTTAATTTACTTTTGTCTTTGAGTTTAAGGCACTTCTCTTTTAGGCAGCATGGCTCTTGTTTTGAAATCTAGCCTGCTACTCGCTAGCTTTTGATTGCTGCATGTGATCCATTGATATTCAGTGTCATTATTGAGATATGCAGGTTTGTTGCTTTCATTTGCTTCATTATTTTATTTTTGGTTTTTTCTCCCCACCCCACCCCCAATTTATTTGTTTGTTTATTGGGTCACTATGAGTCAACATTGACTTGATGGCAGTGAGGTTTTTTTGTTGGGGGGGGGGTTCTTAGTATTTTGTTCCACTTCTATTTATTGTTTTGATTACTGCTCTCATTGTACTGGTTTCCAGGTAGTGGTGTTTTGTGTGATGCTCTCAGGTTTGTCTGCTTTTGTTAATTCTATGGCGATAGCGATTTTTAAAAAAATCTGGTGATTTTTTAAAAATCAGGAGTTAATACGTATATCATATTAATGCTGGTCTTGTTTTTATGAATTCATTTATTTTTCCCTTGTGTACAAATACTTTTATTTCTCCCTTGCTTTAGAGCAGTGGTTCTCAACCTTCCTAATGCTGCAACCCTTTAATACAGTTCCTCATGTTGTAGTGACACCCAACCATAAAATTACTTTCGTTGGTATTTCATAACTTGAAATTTGCTACTGTTATGAATCAGGCAACCTCTATGAAAGGGTCATTTGACCCCTAAAGGGGTCGCAACCCACAGGTTGAGAATTGCTGTTTTAGAAGGATAATTTTGCTGGCTATATGGGCTGGTCTGTGCCTTCAGAGGAGAGAAAATGCCCTTGTTTATATGAGTGTGCCAAAATCTGCAGGCCTACCTGGTTTTGTCTTGGAGGTGTGTATATTTTTAGGGAGGTGGGGTCGCTCAGAAAGTGGACACGGGAGAGCAGTTTTAAAAGAAAATGTTGCAATAGATCGAAATACAAAAACCAAGTAAAATAAAGTAAAAAATAAAGTCACTTTGTGGGTGGGTAGTTCTGTGTTTTTAGTGGTGTTATTGTGTGTATTATGTCTTCCACATGGGAGGGACGCATGGGAAGGATGACACAGGAGAAGAAAGCAGGAAAAGAGGAAGAGAGAAATTACATGGCAAAAAGTGTTGCTTGAGTATTGAGAAGGTCGGCACCGAGTTGCCCACTCAGTGGACAGCTGGTTAAGAGGTTTGGCTGTCTCACTTAGCTCAAGGTTTGGGGAAGATGGCTCTAACATGTATTGAGTCGGGCAAAAAGAAACGGCTCATGCTGCTGGTCAGTAGTAAAGAAGAGTCCCTCAGATGTGCACTGGTACAGATAGGAACTGGAAACACAGGGAATCCAGGGTGGATGATCCCTTCAGGACCAGTGGTGTGAGTGGTGATACTGGGAGGGTGGAGGGAGGGTGGGGTGGAAAGTGGGAACCGATTACAAGGCTCTACATATAACCGCTTCCCTGGGGGACAGCCAACAGAAAAGGGAGTGAAGGGAGATGTCGGATAGTGTAAGTTAATGACAAAATAGTAATTTATATTTTACCAAGGGTTAATGAGGGAGGGGGGAGCAGGGAGGGAGGGGGTGGAATGAGAAGCTGATGCCAGAGCCTTACGTGGAGAGCAAATGTTTTGAGACTGATGAGGGTAACGAATGTACAAATGTGCTTTATACAGTTGATGTATGTATGGATTGTGATAAGTGCTGTATGGGCCCCCAATAAGATGATTAAAAACAGAAAGAAAGAAAGGAGGAGTATTATAAACTGGAAATAGGGAAGAAGTGGGGTGAGTGATGCTACATTGAGGGCATTGCGATGAATGAAGAGAAACAAAATGTGTATGAATTTGCATAAGTAACGCGGGATGATCTCTGTCAACTTCCACCCAATCTACAAAAAAAAGTTAAAAAAATTTTAAAAAGAGGAGTCTCTCAGTAGACATTACTTATCTTTCAGTTTAAGACAAATTGATGTCCTTAGATTTAAGCTGATATTTGCAGTTCCATGGAATACAGGGTACCCTTCCTAATGGAACCCCTCCAGTCATTTCTGAGATCTTCCTGTGCTTGTTATTTGGAATTAATTAATATGCTTATCCAGCACTCTTTAACTGTAAAGAAATATATACAAGGAGTTGGCATCACTCACCAGCCACGTGTATTGAAAAAAAAAAAAGACAGGAAAATTTATTTGGTTAGCTTTATAGCACAGCCTTCATTATCACCCAGTGAGAGTCTACCTCACTTATATTGGGCTAGGTCGGTGGAAGTGCATTCTGCTTTAGATAAAATGGACGGTTTTAGTAAAATTAATTCATATGATCGTTGCAATTTTTAAGATATTCCCTAAAGTAGATGCAATATAGAGATAGTATAGTATAGTATATAGTATGACTTAGGAAATTGCCCTAGAATACTGTTTACTTTCTGTTTGAATTTTTCGTCTCTTTTTCTGATCCTTTAAGCATTGATCATTGTACAAATTACAATGAATCTCTTATCAAATTATGGATCAAGATTTTAAATTTTTTAAAAATTATTTTATTGGCGGCTCATACAACTCTTATCACAATCCGTACGTACTTCCATTGTCTGAAGCACATTTGTACATTTGTTGCCATCATCATTCTCAAAACATTTGCTTTCTATTTGAGCCCTTGGTATTAGCTCCTCATTTTTTGCCACCCCCTCCCTCATGAACCCTTGATAATTTATAATTTATTATTATTTTGTAATGTCTTACACTGTCTGATGTTTCCCTTCACCCGCTTTTCTGTTGTCCGCCCCCCAGGGAGGAGGTTATATGTAGATCCTTTTAATTGGTTCCTCCTTTGTACCCCACCTTCCCTCCACCCTCGCGGTATCCCCACTCTCACCACTGGTCCTGAGGGGTTCATCTGTCCTGGATTCCCTGTGCTTCCTGTTCCTATCTGTACCAGTGTGCATCCTCTGGCCCAGCTGGATTTGTAAAGTAGAATTGGGATCATGATAGTGGGGGTTGGGGAAGCATTTAAGAACTAGAGGAAACTTGTATGTTTCATCATTGCTATACTGCACCCTCGTTCCCTCCCTGTAACCCTTCTGTAAGGGTATGTCCAGTTGCCTAGAGATGGGCTTTGGGTCCCCACTCCACACTCCCCCTCATTCACGGTGATATGATTTTTTGTTCTTTGATGTCTGATACCTGATCCCTTCGACACCTCGTGATCACACATGCTGGTGTGCTTCTTCCATGTGGGTTTTGTTGCTTCTCAGCTAGATGGCGACTTGTTTACCTTCTAGCCTTTAAGACCCCAGATACTATATCTTTTGATAGCCGGGCACCATCAGCTTTCTTCACCACATTTGCTTATGCACCTGCTTTGTCTTCAGCAATCGTGTCGGGAAGGTGAGCATCATGGAATGCCAGTTTAATAGAATAAATTGTTCTTACACTAAGGGAGTACTTGAGTGGAGGCTCAATGTCCATCTGCTACTTTAATACTAAGCCTGTAAATATATGCACATAGATCTATTTCCCCATCCTCATATTTAAGCATATTTACATATATACATGCCTATATTTAGACCTCTATAAATTCCCTTTGCCTGCCAGTTCTTTCCTCTATTTCATTTTACTTTCCTCTTGTCTCACTATCATGCTCAGCCTTCCTTTGGGTTTCAGTAATTCCTCTCAATTACATTGTCCTTGATCAAGCCCTACCAGGCCTCTTACACCCTCCTCACCACTGATTTTGGATCAGTTGTTGTTCTCTTGTTCCTGGGTTTGTTAACACCACTTCCTTTCCCATGCCTCACCCTCTTCCATGTCTACCTAGAACCGTCGGTCCCATTGTTTTCTCCTCCAGATTGTTTATCTGTAAATCTTGTAAATCTACAAGATTTAGAATTTAATTGTACCTTAGCACCTATCGAAATATACATAGAATATGGTTGTCAATAGAGACCAGCTTTGTAGAAGTCACATTATAAGAATACTATTTGTACATATTATTATATATTACAGATCGCTATTATGTAGGATATCCATCTTTATTCTTTCATTTTTAATGCTATTCCATTTTCTTAACAGTTTTTCATATTGTGCTGTCTTGTGTGTTATTGTGATGCTAGACGGTATGTCATTGAGTTGTTGCTTTGTTCAGATTGAATTCTTAAATGATTGAGCTCTGTTTGCATTGAGCATGGGGGTTGGTGATAGGGGGAAAATTTCTGTAACATTCCTTACAAGGACAGATCCTTGTCTAGTGGGTTAATACTTGTTATACTGATACAAAGAAGGCATTGAGATAGTAAATATACGGTGGTTTTGGGTCCCCTCTCACTGGACATCCGCTAAGCCAGGGATCCCAACACTGGCTTATGGTCCAATGACTGCCATTTTCACAGCCTTGAGGTGACCGTTATTTGCCTCCTTTACCATCAAGGAATTTCATTCTAAGTCCAAAGGCTGCAGGTAGTTTTGAGGCAGGGCTCAGTTTGTTCAGTCAGGGCTGTACACTGGGTCCTTCGGGTCCGGCCCTTGGGGAGTGACCGCAGATAGTTTCAGCCATCTCTCGAAGAGTGGCTGGTGAGTTTGGACTGCTGACATTTCTGTTTTCAGCACAATGCTTACCGCTTCACGGAAATCCCATTGAATAGATTTCTGAAAAATGGCCCTATGAAAAAATGTATTAGAAAAGTATATTTTTAAATATTACTAATGTTTATCTCTCTGTCTTTTTACAGTGACTATATTGAGCCCAGCCGAAAAAGGTAAGAGGGTTTTATAAATTATATTGGCTCGGACTATATTTTTCTTTCTGTCCAAAAGTGAACAGTTGACTATTCTATAAATTGGCCAACATTTTTAGGAATACACTTAGATAACGGGAAAGTTTAGCATGATGATTTTCAGAAATATATCCAGTTGAAGAACAGAACATATATTCAGTAGCTTCTTTTGACGGAAAGATATTGGGAATTACCAGGATTTATGATGTAGAAGGGCAGTCCTGTGTTTAGTAGTAATCATAGCCTCGTTCTTGGTTCAAGTTATGGTGTAAGTAACATTTTATCAGGAAAATGGTAAAAATGAAGTCCTTTACCACCCACTGCTCTTGCATATTTTCCTTATTCCTTCTTTACTCCTTAACCCAGGCTTGGCTTGACCCTCTAGCTATGTTACCTTTCTGGAAGAGTGGGGTGTTTTCCTTTTTCAATTGTAGTTTTCCTGCTTCCTTATACATTACTTGTCTTCTTTGTATTTAGTTTGTTCATGTGTAGAGTGGGAAATAATTCTACTATGTGTCTTATAGAATTGTGAAATTGTAACTAGTTGATGCATAGATCAATTCAGAACACCTAGAACTTAGTCAAAACCAACGCAATGGCACCTAACAGGACTTAGTAAAGTGTTTCGAGCAGTGGTAAGTAACTCACAAGCGGTGGAATTGACTTATCTGCGTCTGAGCCAGGGATTCCTGGAGAAGCAGAATCCGCGACGCTTATCGATGTCTGTCGAGAGGTTTGTATTCACGGAACTGGTGCACGTCGGTGTAGAAGTGGGTAAATCCCAAGCTCATGGGGCAGATGTCAGGCTGGCTTCATGTAGTGGCATTGTTTGAAAAACATAAGATGGCAGCTTTCTGGCTGCACAGTTGAATGAATTCAAGGTTGGCAGGTAAGATGGCAGGCTTCTGATGACTCCCAAGATTGGCACATTAGACAATAGGCTTCTGGCTGTGGAGGTAAATGGATTTAAAGTCTGAAGGTCAGAAGGCAGTTTGCTGAAAATGCTCAGGGATAGCAGGCAAGAAGGAAGACTGCTGGCTCAAGTCCAAAGAACTGCTGGTCAGATAATAAGCCATATGCAAGAGCCAGACCGAGCAAAAGGAAAGAAAGCTTTACTATAGCATCTACATCTATTGGAAGCAGGCCACAGGCTTCCTTTCAATTGACTGGATGCTCATAGCAAATCTTATCATGAAGGTGATTATATTACATTAAGTATCATTGTGGGGCATCACTATATCTTAACTGAATTTGAGTGTTTTAAAAAAAGGTTATGAGTTTACCCATCTGTACTATGGGAGTCCTGGTGGAGTAGTGGTTACACGTTGGGCTGCAATCCACATGGTTGGAGTTCAAAACCACAGCAGTTCCTCGGGAAGGAGACTGGGTTTTCTACTCCTATAAACTGTTATAGTTTAAGAAACTCACAGTGGGTTGCTATGAGTCAGCTATGACTCTATGGCAGTGAGTTTGGTTTGGTTTTAGTGTTGGAACATACCTAAATGAAAGATAGAAATGAACATTGAGTATCATGATTAAAGGGCGCTTATAAGTCCACCATAGTCGATAATTGATAATATACTATGAGAGATTTTTCCCCCCCAGAAGAAACTGGGTTTTTTGTTTGTATGTCTTGTTATTGTTACATGCCCATAGCTTGAGTTTGGACCTTTGGTAGAAAATGTAAACTTCCCCCAGAACCTTCCAAATCTAGAATTTTGTATTTGAAATAGCATGCAAACCCACATAGAACTTGTGAGAGAAAAGGAGATTTATATTTGAAGGGAAAACCTGCGGAAAGGGAAAAAAAGATGATAATCTGGCTTTTTTTTATTTCTAAGCAGACTGGTGGTGCTGTAGGGTAAGATTTGGATTGCTAATTATGAGGTTGGTTGTTCAAATCCACCAGCTGTTTCATGGGAGAAAGAGGGGGATATCTGCTCTCATAAAGATTTACAGCCTCAAAGTCCTTTCTGAGGTGTCTATGAATTGAAATTGACTCAACAGTGGAGTTTTTTGTTTTGTGTTCAATTTGCCATTGGACACACCTTGGCAAGAAAAAGTTTGTGTCCGTGAGAGAACACTGCATTCTAGGACTGAACGGTAAAGAGAACAGAAAGCCTGATATGCTTGCTGGTGACTGCTTGGTTGCACTTGTTGAGTGGAAGTGTGGGAAAGAAATACAGTAATGAAGAGACTAATTGAGTTTTCACATGCTCCACTGACGCCCATTGACCTACTCCACAGAAGTTAGAGATGAAAGAGAAGAGGAAGTACTGGCTGATCTGAAATTTTAGGGAGTTGTGCAGACTCCTGAGATGGAAGGTACTGACTGACCCACCCCACTGAAAGAGGGACTCAATGAGACAGCTGGTCTGACGTTTGGTGATATGTTTGTGGACTCCCAACCTTGCAGCTGGTACACATTTGACCTAGCTTTGGTTGTAGCTTTGGCTGAGTTGAGCAGCACTTGAGCACATGAGGAAAACAATACTCAATACTGTGAGTTGATTGCTGTGATTTGATGGCTTGCTCTGGACCAGACTTTATTTATGGGTGCACATTCTCAAAGTTCCAACCCGAATCTAAGATTCTTCAGATCAAGGGATATGCTTGTCTCCTCACAGTACTGTGTTGATAAGGATGAGCAATTTAGAAATTAGACACTCTAATGGGGGATGTAAACGCATGAAGTGGCTGATTTACATACTTCCATTGGTATGAGTAGATTCAGAATGAGGGAGCCAAAGACGAATCCCACTAAATCCTCTGAGAAAGAGAAGGTGGGGGGGAAGATGCTGATAGGTTTATATGATTCAGTTGTAATTGTTGACAGAGTTAACTGATTGTAAAACTGTAGTTGTAGAAGATATAACTTAATGAGAAAGGGAGTTCATTATTCATATAGGAAATGGACAATGACTAAGATAACCAGAGTGTGGCTTATGATGCATTTGAATTACTTGTTATGGTTCTTCTATTGTATTTGTAACTCCCACAAAATAACTGGATGTTAGCAGTGTGTGTGGGAACACAAACATGGAGATTGGTTGGTTTTGCCATCCTACTGAGTAAACAATGAGCCACCTTAGAAGTCAGAATGGGTTGTCTTATGACCTTCCCAACCTTCTTAAACTGGAGAAACTTTTAAATGTAGGGCAGCATTTCTAGAAACTTTATGCAAACTTCCAATGATTTTGGAAAATGTTTACTTGGGTTCTGTTAAAAATTTGAGGCTGACCTCAAAATAGTTTCGTTCATGGCACAAACACACAAAAAGTATTCTTTTTTTAAAGGCATTCTCATGAGACGAAGATAAGTGTATTAAGGAGAGACCAGTCATGCACTGGTCACACAGATAAGTTTAAATCCATTTTCTTTGTAATAAACTCATGCATATATGAACTGAAAACCCAGCAGCAATACTTTTTGACTTATCTTTGTATTGCTCAAATTTTAGAATGAGATTTAATGATTACAAAATGAAAAAAGTAGCAGGCATATAAAAAAGCCTTGTACTCTAGGGCTGGGAACACGGACCACAAGAATAAATCTTTTTCTTTTTTCTTTTAAATCATTTTATTGGGGTTCATACAACTCATCACAATCCATACATACATCAGTTGTGTAAGG